AAAAAAATTATTACAGTAAAAATAAAAACACAAAAGTAACAACCTCATAAACACAGGGAACCATACAAGAACATAAAATAACCCATTACTAAATAAGTCAAGAAACATACTGATGTCCAAGAAACCTGTAAGATGTCCAGTGGGAACACGGGTGAAATATTCTAATGAGACTGCATATGTGATTCCCACGTAGCTTCTTTGGCACAGTCTGACTGCTCACACCCCAATAACTCCTCTGATCTCTCCACCACAGCACCAAAGCTAACTCCAACTCAGGTTGTAGGCACTCTTGCACAGTCTCATCCAGTCTGAGGCTTGGGTTAGGAACTCTTGCTGTTCCTCTCCCTGGGTGTGATGGTGGATTCAGCAGATAGGCTCACTGGCACTAAACTGTCCACTGAGTCAGAATTATTCCTAGGCAATCAAATCATCTATAGCAGTAACAGGCCAGTCTGTTACAGTGGTATCTATCAGGGCTAGCTGAGAAATACCATATCACGAGACCCTGTTTTGGGTCTCCCTTTAGCCTAGAGGAGAAATCCAGTTACAGTGTAAGCATCGTAACAGCCCAAGTCTTGATCGGCAGTGTGCACTAAATGTGATGGCTGTGTCTCCTCTAATAGTGAAAAAAGCATTCAATGGTAATTTTATAGAATTAGTTGTCTAAAGCCCAGGAGTTGGGGATGGGGTGATGCCAAAGTGGGGAAGAGAAGAGAAAAAAAGAAAATTGTATTTATTTATTTATTTATTTTTAAAGTTCTCTGCGTTGTGGTAGGAGGAGGAAAGAGGAGGGAGACAAAGGACCCTAATGTTGGTAAGCTGTGTTATATATTTAGAGAGATAACGGGGCAAAGCTGGGTACAAAATTGGGAGTGGGAAATGGCGATGGGAAAAGATTCTATGGCTGATATAAATATTAGAAAGTTAAAGGGAGACAAATGAAGAGGCTGGAGAGGAAAGAAAAAGAAAATTGAGAATGAATAAGACACAGGAGAACGAAGTCAGGCAAAGAGATGTGGATAAAAGTAGGGAGGATATAAAGGGACAAGGGAGAACTCCCTTACCCTCTCTAAACTCTTGCGGGAGAAAAAAGGCAAGAGGAAGCTGAGCACCCAGGGATACACTCATAAGAGAAAAGCAAAAGAATAGGGCCGAGGATTTAGCTCAGTGGTTTCGCCGCCTGCTGCGCAAGCGCGAGTTCGATCCCTGGTACCAAAACAAAACAAACTTAATAATGAAAAAATACAATCAAAGAATAATATTGAAAGTTTTCTGTTGGTTTGGACACGTGGCTCCTGTCCTCAGGCTTGGGATAAGGGGCAGAGCTCAGGCCCAGACGCGTCTCTGTTCACACTGCTCCGCCTCCAGAGCGCCCTGCCTGGAGAGATCGGCGTGCAGTGGGATCCCCGAGCCAGTGTGAGCTTCCAGCCCTGTGTAGCTCGGGCTGACCCGGGCCTCTGACTGCAGGAGCCGGGCCTGTTCATCAGCCCCTGTCTGCTCTCCATCTGCGGCAGTCTCCCGGACTGCCCTTCCCTCACCCACTCTGGGATCTTGATGTGTGGAGCAGCCAAGGCGCTGCTCTGGGACGCAGGTTCGAACACTGGGCTCTTGCTCCGCGGTTGGCGCTGGGAGTGCTTGCACTGGGGTCACTCCCCAGCTGTGGACTCTGGAAGGCTGCTCTGGAAGTGGTGTCCCACGTTTTCCTTGCTGATTCCAACTGCAGGTGATTCTCTTGGTCCCATGCTGTTCTTTTTCTCGGTGAGCACAACAGTTGTTACTTTCACTTTGTCTCCCAGTGGGTGTCGAAAGTGCTGCCTGGTCTGACCTCCGACGTGTGGTCTGTTTCTTCTGTCTCA